ATGGTGGTGGAGACACTGTCCAACATGTTGCTCTAAAATCTCCCACATACATGTAGGTGTTTGACTGAATTGAGATCTGGTGACTGAGAAGGCCACAGCGTGTGATTCACATAATTTTCATCCTCAAACCATTCAGTGACCCCCCTCGTGTCCTATGGATCAAGGCACTATCATCCTAGAAGAGACCACTCATTTATTCAGGCTCTTCCTTTAATCTGTCATCAGTAATTGATTTTATTAAGGATTAAAATGTTAAGATCATTATATCAATTGTTACATAATTGTTACTACTCTCAAAACTATGTGAATAAATTCTAGTACTGTTCTGAATTTTTCTTAATGGAAAAGAACCAACAATAGAAGGTATCAGTAAGAGCAGCAGTATAAAATCTTAACATTATTAATCCTCCACATTTCTTGATGAGAACGCATGACCAGTCAAATCAATCAGATCTTATTCACTGCAAGAGTAGCAACAGTGGACAGAAAACAGTAGGTTGTCAAGCTGTTGCACAGATGAGCTGCTTGGATTTCATGTTACCTTGGAAACAAGCGCTGGTGTTCCAGCAAGTGAATAAGAAAAGGTAAGTCTACGTGCGATCTCCACAACATGCTTGGCATATTGCCTTCACCGGTCACATGCACCAGACTAACACTTACAATAAATTAACCAACACGGGTAATTCACTGGCAGAGGGAAGCCCTGAAACAGACGCGTGAGAATGATGAGGGCCTGCCCACTTTGTCTGAACCCTAGTCTCTCTGTGGTGTAAAGTCGAGCATGTTGTAGTCACAACTATAGAAATGTCAATGGGAAGGGGACAAAAAAACATTGGTTACAGACAAAACACCCATCTGATATCTCTTCTTCTTCAGCTGTGTATTAGATTTAAAGGAACTGCCTGTTTCCTAACATGATTTTGAAAGGCAAAGAACAGTCAAAAGCAGCTTTATGAACAATGCTTTAAAGTGCTTGTTAAATGTTACCACTGAAACAGTATATTGCACCAATGTAGAACTGCCTTTGAAAAAAAGGGTTATAAAATAGTTTACCTCCTGGGTAATAAAACTGCAAACTCGGTTCTGTGTTTGTTTGTGTGCGTGATTCTGTGTGTTTTTGTGTGTGGCAGGGGTTCACAGGTGTTCTGAGATGAGACTGAATATATTTCCATTTTTAAGAGGGACCGTATGCATGAATATTTTGAAATTGGGAACCTGCAGAAAGATAAAGTGTTATGTGCAGGTGTGAGGCACATTCACACAGAGATGAAAACATAAACATTGTAACGGCTTCTTGAGGCTTTATGTTTGGTATAAATGTGCCATAAACGTCAAGAGGGAAACCAAAACACTCTAACTATAACGTACAGGAGACAGACTCAGACAGGTTTGATCGGCTGCTTTGATGTTAAAATACTTGCTCAAAAAATTTGATTTGCTTTTTTTTATGTCACCTTAAATGTATTTTGCTTTATAGATTTTTTTTAAAATGTTGTTAGTGTTCTGATCATGCACGGCCTTGTCAGCTGACTGCTTGGCTATTTTTAGAATTATTTCTGATGCCACAAGTAGAGGAATAAAAACAGAAAGGGAGATCAACTTTATCCACAGTGACATAAATCCAAGTAACACAGTGAACCATTTAAAGTGGGAAGAGGGGGCTGTTCTCAACACCATTAGCCATTTTGAAAGATACAACAGTGCAATTAAGCAGTTGGCACAAAGCGAAGGCGAGGAGGGAACCAGAGAGTTGTCAGGGGCTTTACTCTGATAAAACACAGAGAAAGAGCAGCCCAGGAAGACCCGATTTTAAGAATGGTCATTATACAAATTCATTCATTTCTTTTTATATTAACATAGTGTGAATACAAAAATAAAAACACCAAAGTGAAAAATACAAAATGTTTTGGGCTTTTTTTTTCCACTTCAGAAAAAGAGAAAGAGCTTTGATACTGTATATGAAGTAGTGAAAAATTCAACTCTATGGTTGTTCAAAAATACCAAATAACAAAAACAAAAAACAAATCAGACCCATGGGGAACCTACCACATTATTTAACTTCAGTAACTCAGCAGCTGGGAGCCAAACTATACTACTTTCAAAGGACTGCTTCATTATAATTGCACAGATATATTTTATTTTCCTTACCCAGAAACAGAAATACAGTGGAACCTCAGTTTTCGTATGCCGTACTTTTCATACGATTTGGTTTTCGAGGACTTTTTCGTCAAAATTTTGTCCCAGTTTTCGTACATCTGCTCGGTTTTCGTACAGTTGATTGGTCGGTTCAGTGTCACTAGTCCGTACCAAACTCGTCCACCTGCCCGTCTGACTCGGCCACTCATTTCCCGGAATCGAGCGCCCACGCAAAGCATCCCATGCGTTTGAGAATCAGGTCTGCCATTGTTTTTTTTTAGGCAAATCTTAAAGAGATGCCAGAAACAGACCTCTCTGGACAGATTTTTTGTGCGACAGGGGTTCCAGTGACTCTCAAGCTGGTCCTAGTGCCAGTAAAAGACAAAGAAGGGAAGTAACCCTGGATAGGGCCTTGATACATGAAGTCCTTATAGAGGGGGATTCCCCTTCCAAACAATAACCTCTCCTCCTCCCTCTCCCCTCCTCGCCGTCTTCCATACGCCAACAAGAGTTTTCATTAAAGGTAAAAGTGATGTTAAATGTTCATTTATCCATTTCATTAGTCATTTATTCAGTCAGTTATTTATTTCTCATTGTTTTATGTATGTAAAAATATAGTTATTCTCTATAAAATGTATTTTTTGTTAATATTTTTGGGTGTCTGGACCGGATTAATTGGATTTACATTATTTCTTATGGGAAATATTGCTTTAGTTTTCGTACATTCGGTTTTCGTTGAACTTTTTCGAACAGATTAATTCCGAAAACCGAGGTTCCACTGTACTACACCTAAGATGGACTCCATGTGGCTGTCTTAAGGCCCAAGAGTAAGCTACATGAAAAGCTTTGGTCAAGACTCCACAGTATGGACTCAATCTAAAAAAAAAATCCATGAGGCAGAGCACCATAACAGTCAATGTGTTGAGGACTAAAGGACCGGGTTGACCATCAACCTTGTCAGTCATATGGTTTGCCAAAAGGAGCCAGGGTGTCTCTGTATGGGAAAGGGTGAGAGGTTGAGCTTTTAATTAGGTGAGCAAGTAGAAGAGACTGCCAAGGAGAACAGAAAAGGTTAGGGAAGGCCAGATACTGGTGGTAGATGAAGGGAGGACAGGAAAACTAGACAGGAGAACTGTGTGCAGCCATGCACACTCATTATTTTCTGGTGGAGGTTAGTAGCGGATAACTCTATGCCAAGCTACAGTCTGCAGCAGGAGAAACTACTACACTTTGAGCCTTGTTGATTGTCGATTTCCTCTTTTTTGGCAAATGCTAATAACAATTATAAGGATTAGATGTATACAATGTAAAGAGGCATCAATCTTCAAGAGTATTTTTAAGGTACATAATTCTCAATCATTTAGGTTGAGCTCAAGGACACACAGATTCTCCAAAATGCACTAGACACTAAAGGGTTGTACATGAGAGGAACTGTTTTATCGTCGTATGCAAAAATGAGTGTGATTAGGAAACTAGTATGTTTGATTAACATTGGAGGGTCTCGAAAGAAAGACTCTGACCCTGAGGGATCTGCAAGTTTTGGAAATCCAAACTCTTCTCAAAATTTCTTTCAATGAAAGCAGAAGGAACTGAGGACTGAGATTAAAAAGATAACAATAACTAAAAAGTAGCCTCTTTATTGTTTAGCACTATAGTTGCTAGTAAAATTTCTTCTGGCTACAATGCCTCACATTTCAGTACAAAATCTGTCACTCCATATGATTTGTTTATCATGTTATTGCATACACAAAACTATAGTCATGTTAGCTGCTCTGTGAGGCTGCACTTAAGCACAGCAGTGCTTTGAGCTAAACAATAATGTGAGTATGCTCACACAATGATGATATGGCACTGCATAAGTCAGGAGATCAGTTTTTACAGTCCATCCGCATAAAAGTGTACACCAAATTTCATGGCAATCAACCCCACAGTTGCTGGGACATTTCACTCACCACAAAAATGAACTTTGTGATAGCGCCAGAAAAACTCGCCAAGGTCATGTGGATACAACTTTTGGGGAACACGTCTGTGGTAGATTTCATGGCAAACCATCCAATAGTTGCTGAGATATTTCAGTCTTGTACCAGATGATCAGCTGACTGATCATCCCTGAAACAACAGCACTCATAATAAACTATGACTAATAGTTATATTTAAAAGTACTGCTGAGTGCTTAGAGGTGGTTAAGATTGCTGATTTCAAAACTCACTTTTCAGCCTGTATTTATCCATCCACACTATCAGACTCCCACAGGAGTCTCCACATACTTCCAAACCCCCCACCTACTGTTCAACAATAAAGAGCAATGCATGATTTTGTATTTCAGTCATGAAAGTAAAAAAAAAAACATTTTCAAGCCAAATGAAAACCAAATTTATAAAACTATTATTCCAATATTCCACAGGGTGATATACTGCCTCTTCACTCTCACTGTTCCTTCTCTGCTTTATTTAGTTAACTTACTCCTCTGAAAATGTGACTGTTTCTATCAGTTACAGAGGACACGAGCGGTGGGACAGGTTTTGGCCAGGGACTGCTTGTGTTGGCGGAGAAAAGACCTGACGATACTACTGCAATTCTTACTGGCTGCCAGTTTAAATTAACAGTCATAGATTGATTTATGCATCTTTCAGTGAAATTAATTTAAGATGTTGTCAGGCTTTTTTCAGGAATCAAAGGTACATTGGGTTGAAACACTTATTGTAGGCAGATGTAAAGCAAAAAAATAAATAAAAGTAGTTCGGCAGTGCATCCTCACCGCAAAACTCGACACTACTGCTCTTTAAATCAAACTCACTAACAGGGGACAGTCATTTGCCAACTGTTATAACAAAAGAATGGTCCCGGGGTTCACATAAACTTACTTGGACATAGTTCGGCCAGAGTGTTGCCAGGGAAACAAGACACTGCCGACCGCTGCCCGGTAGCTGTAGACACCCACAAGTCCAAAGGCGAGGGCGACCTTGGAGACCAACGAGCACCGTCTTTGAACCAGGAGGTAGGTAAGAACCAAACAGAAGGCAGCCAACAGGGAGAGGACCAGCCTGTGTTCAGAGCTAGAACAGAAACAGAAAGACAAAAAGTCACAGGGTGAAGAAAATGCTTCGCAATCTAATACTATGAAGGGGGTCTTTTAAATTATAACTTCAATTTCCATTCAACATTTGTGTTAACAGTTTTCAGGATGACTGAAAAGGAATTAAGTCATCTCCCTTGATAAACCTTGAAGTCAACTCCTTACTGAGCAACAGAACCATTTTGATGAGATGAAACACTGTCAGTCATATCATCCAGTAGTAGTTTACACTTTAAAAGGAGCAAAAATCCTCACTTGTTCACTCAATTCAAGGGTCTATAGCTGGAAATTACACCACACTGAGTACAGAGAGGAAATAAATCAGAATTACATGGAAGCTGTGTATTTAGCCGTTAGTGGAGGTTGGCTACTGAGAAATAAAATGAGGCGTAATGCGACCTAGATCTCATTATCCAAGCAACAGGCAGTGCAGGTAGGAAGAAAGGGCAACGCTGGACAGGGAAAAGGTCAGAGTCCACATCTCTATTCCACAATGTGATGCATGTTAAAGAACAAATCATAATCCCCCTGCTCGGTGCTGTTGACAGAATATTAATGGCTCTGATACAGTTTTAACTGAGAAATCACAGTTTTTCTACAGTCTGGGTAATCACAGAAGGCGATTTTCCCGTCTTGAATCTTTCTTTGAAATGCTAAGTGGAGGGTCCTGCCAGCTTCTCAGCCAGGAAAACATTTAAAAATGTTCCATGTTCCACTGTCAGAAGAACAGACTTGCAGAGATGATGCCTTATACCTTTCCTTCAGTGTCTGGTGTGGACAAATTATTGAGAGGCTTGTTTTTTATCAAGCCTGAACTGTATCTACTTCAGAAGGTGACTTCCTATATTTGACATAATAGCTTTCAATTTTCCCCAGAGAACAAGAATGAACTTGTTGCATCGATTTTGTACAATTATGTGTAGGTGGAGAGACAAATTGAGATTGAACTGATGTCACTGCCTTTTTGAAACAAATTTATCCCTGAGTGACTGCTGAATGTGAAACAAGCCTATTCACAATTCTGTAGTACTAAAACCTCAAGTTTACCATGGATTTCTTTCCCTTCTCCCCCTCAGCTGTGGCTGTGCGGTAAATGGCTTCTTGCCCTGTCACCTACCTGTTCCCACACATCCACATAACAAAAGTAAATTACACTATATTCTATAACCCAAGACTAATAGTCCTCAGGTCTGCTAGCAGCTCCATTTTCATTACAGCCTGCAGTGCAAGACCGTTTGTCAGAACAAACAACATTCTGAACATTTTGCTGTTTGCTGAGCCTTACCAGTAGTGGAGATAAAATTGTAGTTTGTCTTGAGTAACAATAGAAAAGGCACCAAATCGATGCTCCCAAAGGGATTTTTGTATCAAACTTTGGTATAATTATCCATGTGTCCAACTCTCTGTGTTTAACAGGGAACTGCAAAGACTTCAGAGAAACCAAAGAGAGAAAGACACCACACTATCTTTTTGGTATTCAAACAGTGGTGTATCTTTCCTTTGGAGAACATCTTGTGAATTGTAATGCTGCCAAAGTAATTGGGAATTAATCAGGTTGATTTGCTGCTGTTAATACCCTCTTGTTGTTTTGATGCCTAGTAAAATTATACAAACTCAATGGCCAGTGCAGCTGGAAAGCAGCACTGGCCTTGAGTAGGAATGTAAGAGTACCAAAAACTCTCAGTACGATACAGCCATGATAAAAAGTCCACAATACAATATCTATCGATACGATATTGCCTTTTACTAAATAATAAATCAGGGATTTTTGTGTAATGTATATAAAAGATAATGCAGAAGTCAGTAGCAGTACTTTTATGAGATGAAATAAAATAAAATATTACTGCAGGAACTGGATCTTGTAAATAATGTTCGCAGTGGAACATCAGTGTTTCAGTGCTACCTAGGAATATTTAACTTTCTTTATTTGGTGGCTGTGCCAACTGATGATCTAGTTCTCAGCAGGCTACTGGACCAGTTGAAGTGGGTATTCCCCCAACCACCAGGGGCAATATGGAGCAAATTGCTGCTTGGTGCACCAGAATGAGAATCCAAACTAGGACAAGCCACAAAAGGTGAGATTTGTGCTTTACTGGAGGTGTTTTTCAAATATCATGGTCTACTTTTTGAAAAGATAAGGCTTTAAGGGTGGTTACCAAGTAGCTGGCTTTGCATATGTGCATCCGGTTTGTTCTCGCCCGTCTCTGTGAGATGTATCCAGGACTGTCTCAGTCCTAAATGGGGCTAGTATTGCCTTCGCCTGGCAGTATTTCTAAAGTGTTCGGAGTTTGTTAGTTTGCATTTCGCCTGCGTAATTTCTTGAAACGGGAGAACTGAAATGCTGTCATAGAACAGCTCTAAGAGTTAGAGCATCCGCTATGTCATTTTCAAATTCTGCAACCTGAACGCTGTTATACTAATGAAATAATAATATTTAATATCCTGGTAGATAGCCTCACAGCCCCACAATATTATCAATACATTTTTCTATTGCAATATCACAAAATAAATATGGTTACATCCCTATTGTTGAGCTAAAGGTGCTATAATCAATGTAGTATCAGCTACCTGCCTGCTAAGAAGCTGAGTGCATGTGATTGGCTGAGGAAGTGAACAGCAGTGGCAACGTCACTGTGATGGCAAATGACATGTCAACAGAACAAATTCCATAAAAAAAAAAAAGTCTGTAGAAAAGGGCCTTTTTTTAATATAAAAACCGCTAAAGTGAAATAAGAATGAACATTTCATTATGAGTTTTAATAATTTTTAAAGTACTGTACTTCCCAATTTATTTATACTGTATTCTTGTCTCCATATCTGTATTTAACCACATGGCTAATTATTTAAAATGGACACATTTATTTATTTAATATAGGCTTTCTTGGAGCTCTGTAGTTTAAGAAATTTTTATTGTGAGTGTCTGATTTAGCTTTACATAGCAATTTATACAGTTATATATGATTTTAGAAAACTAGTAAAACCCAACCTGTTAAGCCAATGTCCAACATCAGGGAGATGAGCCCACTGCACCCCAGTCTGGTTGAGGGAGCGCAGCAGCCGGCAGCACAAGAGAGTGAAGGGCGGTGTGGCCAATGCTAGCCACTTCTCTGAGCAAATCTCTGCCTTAGGATAAGCTGAGGAATGAGAGTCTTTGGAAGGGAGGATGTGCTCTTCTTCTTCTCCAGAGCCACTCTGCTCTCTGAAGTACTTGCGGCAGACATCCTGGAAGACGGCGAGGCAGAGGGTGCTGAGCAGAAAGTACCAAGTTTGATGCTCTTCCTCTACGAAGCTGCTGGCCGCCAAGCTGAGAGTGTGCCCAACTGTGCCAGCGAGCAGCAACACATCCAACTCTGACAGCGACCACTCACTGACACTGCACCTTGATGGGGACTATGAAAGAATAAAAGTGCATTAAAACAGAAACTTTAGAACAAGAAGTAAAACATGTCCACAATGTATTAAAATAATTAATTCTGAGAAAGAGGTCAAAATGTTCAACATGGCCTTGCATGTTCATTTGTGATGGGTAGATGGGTATCCCATAAATTAAAGAGCAGACTTCCATGAGATTCTGTAGAGTCCATACAAATGAAATAGAGTTTTGGTAGGGGTCCAGATCAGGGATCTCCATGTGACATTTTTATCATGTTTGTAGCCTAAATTGTAAAGGCAAATAACAAAAGCAACATTTAAACTTGATACATTTTACAAATGGTGCAAGAGATGGCAACCACACAAGGCTGAGTAGATACTCGACCTGTTTTCATCTCGCCCACCTCTGTGCTGTTTGTTCACTGGCAGTTATAATTTTATTTTTCAACTCAGTGGAATAATTATTTTGATCAAATTACTGCTTGGGTGATTCACACCAATCTACTTCCATATTGAAAAACTACATCTAGGGACACTCATTAAGGCCTCATGTGTTTCAGCTGTCTAGTCTGCAAACACTTCAACCTGCTCGATCTTATCTCACTCAGATCATTTCAAACTGCAACATGCTTCAGAAAGAAAAAAAATGTCTAGTGATGGATATACTGTCCATCTTCAAAACTGATCAAAGGCTATCCAGGCTGCTGTTTCTGATGTATGGAAGGATCTTCTGTTAAAACATGAGATTATCCATCACATGCTACTGATGCACAGACGCCATGCCATGGCACTGCAGACTGTGACCATGAGCTACCATTCATAAATGGGAGTCAGTCACTTAGAGATGCTCCCAACACGTTTTTAAGATTATTTTTTGTCCAATCGCTTACTTATATGCAAATTATTTTGTTCAGAGGTGACAGAGATGCAAAGCAA